TGCAGCGCATTTGGTCCATTGTTAACATCCAGCTGGTACTCCTTTCCCTCAAGGACAAAACGTCCCTTTGCAATCCTGTTTGCCACACGGCCCACCACAGCGCCCAGGTACCGCTTATCTGATACATAACCTGACAACAAAGCACAATACTTCTGACTCATATATGGAAGCTGATATTGTAGTGGTAAGACTACACACCTTTGGAGCGCGAGTCACAAGTTCGATTCCCACCCAGGACTGAAAATGCCTGAAGAACTTGATTCTGTACTGGACTTGTCATCCAGGGAAGGACAGATGTTGTTTTGCTTTGCTGTGCTCTACTGTGAAGTGTGTTTATTTCTTTTTATATTGCATGTTTTGGTTATATCTGTCAATTTGTCCTGGAGAGACTCCGCCCTTTTCCCGTTTTACTAATTTGACACACCTGAGAGGAAAGGAGCAGGCGGTGATTTACAGAGAGTGTTGAGTGACACATAAAGGCTGGAGGAGGTTGGCGTGGAGTGAAACGAGGAGACGACGCCAGCGAGCAGGGATCAGAGCGAGCAGTCCGGCTGCTGGAGTTATTGGAGGCCAGATCACGCTCCTGTGGGGAACTAGAGGCGGCGAGACGGTGTTCTACATCCATGGCGAGATGGGCCGGTGCCGATTGCCTTGCCTGGATATTTATTTTTTAGTGACTTTTATATCGTGGCGGACGCCACTGGGTTTTAATGTTGTGTTTTATTAATGTTTATTGTGTTGTTCCCTGGCCAGGGTTGTTTTCATTCATTTTACATTTTTAACTGTTTAAATATAATAAATTATATTTTAATTATACAGTTTCTAATTCAGTGCATTCCCTTGGCTGCTCCACTGCTCTGTCCGTTTTTGAGGAGGGTTTCCCTCCTTTAGTAACACTTGTGCAAAAAAATCACCTTCACTCCGTCACAGACTCAGCTGTGAAAACTGGGGACTGGTGCACTCTTGCCTATTTCATGCAGGCATGTTAGCTGGATCTGTGATGAGAGGTGCAGCGATGTGCAGGATGCAATGTTGAAGAAAAACTGGAGTCCTCGAAATCAAGACAAGTGATGATGTTTCAGCTTTCATATATTTATAGATAAGACTTATAATGGCCGCTATTTTCTTTGTGAATCTTTGTTACATGGCAGTTTATTACAAGTACCATTAGTGTGAAAAGAGACAGGAAAAACTGAACACTTGACACACTGAGCAGGAAAGAGCCGGTGAGACAGAACTGCAGGCCGCACTGCTAGTGACACAATAAGTATTAGGAATATAATGTGCATGTTTTTGAAAAACACTACCTGGTGTTGTAAGAGGTTAAGATCAATGAGCGCACCACCAATCCAATATATCAGTGACAATCAACTCTTTACTACTAAACAAATAATGGGTGTTTCCAGGGTGGGAAAAGACACAGAAGTTCTACTGCATGAGCTTCACTTTAGCCTGATGTTCAGATTCATGTGAAGCAAAAACAAAACAAAACATGACGTCTGCCTGCACGAGAGAACCTGATATGTACAACAGACATCATGTTACGTGCCTGTGTTGGTGGGTTATCTGTTTCTTAATGTGTGTTTGCAAATTCACCTGTGCAGGGGCCCAGCTGTGATTGGTGGACCTAAGGAACGGCCTGATGTAACTGGTTCCTGCTGTGGACGTGGACTATAAAAGGGCGACCGAAGAGCTGCGGTGCGAGGGGTTGGGCGGTCCTCCTGGTCATGTGCCTCAGGTCCAGACGGAGCAGCCGTAGCAATAGCTATTTGGTTAAAAGGTCGGGCATGTGTGTGAAGTGCGGAGCAAGTAGGGGTGAGCTGCCGATTATTTTGGGAAGCCTTCTTTTCTCCTGTGTTTGTAGACCAGGGAGGTCAGACTGTGTTATTTCTTTCTTTTCCTTAAGCAGGTCAGAGGGGAACGGAACCGAAGCCTGGGTTGAGTTTTGTTTGTTGTGTTGGCCTTAGCTCACCCCGAAATCATACACTCCCACTACCGTGAGCGCCATTGTTGTCAATAAACTGTTGTTAAAGGTCCGATGCTGTGGCTGTGTCTGTTCGGGCGTGGGAAGTCACGGGACACCCCGCTCTTGTTACGGGTCGGGTCGTAACACATCACTTTCAGGAGTTTGTGCTTAAATTAACCACTTTAATCATCTTATTGCTTTTTATACAATTAAACCGGTTTATGTGCAGATAACTTTCCCTCCTACCTTCCAGGTTATCATAGCCAAGGACTACATCCTCCATTTCTCCATCCTTCCCTCTGTAGCTCACTGATCTGATAATGGCGCCTAAGGTTAGGACTTCCACCTTCACCTGAGGAGACTGGACAACCCACAGGTCCACGGTGCCCTGGCCAGGCCACTCTCCCCATGGATGATGGCTTACCTGAGTCATCTTGGAACGAGCACAGGAACATAAGCTTAAAATAATGGTTAAATTGTTACTTCACATTTAACTCAAATAAGTTTGGTCAGCTCTTACATCCCCACAGGCTCAATATATCTTGTTCTAGCTTACAGTAGAGTCAACAGTTTGTACAGAGGCTATGGACATCTGTGTGAAGCCTATTAATGCTCACTGGACTGTGCACAAAAGAGTCAAAATACCAGCTTACAGTATTCCCACGTGTCTCTTACATACACACCAACACAGATAGTAAAACCGGTGTTGTGCCAAAAAGTGATTGCTTGTATTTAAACTGCTATAAGTAACTTGTTGGGCTATAATATGTGAAACATATGTCAAATGCATCCCTTATGGATGACATAAAGTCATCTGGAGCCACAAACAACATTCGTGTAACAAGGTTGAAGCCGCAATCAGTTTTATATAACCTTTATTTATGCAGTTAAAAAAACAAATCTCATTAATATTAAATGTCTTTTGTAAGAGTAAGTTGGCCAAGAGGACAGCAGCAAATATGACGATAGTTCTGTAAAAATATTCTAAGTGGGGATAGGACTGATTGGTTATAATGCAAGTACAATAACACAGAGTTGTAAAGACACTTGAAAAACAGATCATTTTTAATTCTATATATAACCCCTTTGTAAACGCTGTTCACCGAAGTCTATTTACCAACATACGTAATGATATTACACATAAAAAATACACGGAAACATTGGAAATCACTTTCTGGCACAACACCGGCACAAAAAGTTTGCTCAGTTAAGCGTACACAGGATATGACGCTAAACACGTTACCTGTCTTTACAGTCAGCAGTTATTCAGCACGACACACGCTCTAATCAGCGACCTCTCCAGCAGCAGGACACCCGCGCGTTCTCGTTTCTTACCTTGAATACTTCACGCACTCATTACTAGACTTTGGACCTGGTCGTGTTTTCCTGCTTCCGTTACTGATGACGCAGACGCGCAATGGGTGACGTCAAAGCTACTGAGGCACGCCCACGTGGCGGGCAAAAACGATTTGTTTTTTAGTATAATATAGATTTTTTTTTTTTTAAAGCGTGCACGTAAACGGTCGCTCATTAATGGTGTGTTTATAACAGAAGAAGTATTACTGAGAAGACTGAAAGGTTGTCACTGTGTCAACTTTACTCGCAAACTGCCTGTAATATCAGTTCCAGGTTCCAGCTGATATGTTTGTTAATAACACAGCTGATGCCCACAAAATGTAAGAAAAAAAAACAGGACTAAAGTAGCAAAGCGCTATATTTATATGCTAAAACCAAAATGATGGCATTCGGGTGCTAATTTAAAAAATGGCATAATTTTTCCACAGAGGAATTTTTCAGCACTGCCTTTTTGCATTTATATATTGTTTAGTTTGTTTTAAATATTCAGGTTAAAAATAAGCTTTAATGAGGTATTTTTCAAAAAGTTACTTATTGATGATAATGTTAGTCTTTATTGATTTCATTATCATCTGCTTATGCACACACGCTGATGACTGAAAACATTTCAGCTAATAATTTTCTCCACCAGTTTACTCCTTGACACCTTTAAAGGTAAGAAAAATACGTATAATTGTAGCTATATTTC